GCACATATACATATGAAAGGACTTAACTAGTTTTGTGATTACTTCAACCCCCACTTATTAACCAACAGTCAATATCAAAACACAACAACACAAAAGATTTGTGATTCAAAAAACATTTTTCAAGAATTTTTTTGGGCTGAGTGTTTGAAAAGTTGCACTATTTTCTATTCTGCATGACCTTCAAAAAACAAACATTATAAATCAAAATGTCTTTGTTTAATTTAACTTTAGAAAAATCATTTCATGATCATGATGATTCACTACTATTTAGTTGTTAATGAGGTAATATTAAGTTTGCTTTCAGCATTAAATGTGAGCATGATCTTTGAGACCATAGGATTTTGTGTTATTAAAATTTGCTGTTACAAAATTTTGGAAATTATTTAAAATTAAGGAATGTATCTCCCTCATGCAAAGCTCTGATTCCTTGCCCGGCTTTGGCTATACTTTTTTGTTTTTTTTTGGTTTGTAGCTCTTCATCTTTCTAATAAGCTTTGGATTTTCAAATATTTTGGCCTCGAGCATCACTGAAGAGACATCGATTGTCAAAATGCGCATCTGGTGCAGAAAAAATGGTACCGTTTATGTTATTACTGTACTAAATTGTGTTTTGTTGTCTTTTAAATTTCTTTTGATAGAGTAAATCCCATTTTCTGTTCTGATTTGTATTGTATGTTCCAAGAGGGTTTGGTGCTGAAAAAACCTAGTTTTAACCTGCACCCATGTTCATGTGCCTGTTCTATGTCAGTTTTTTTAAGTCATATTCAAGATGCAAAATTTTAACATACACTTGACAAACCCAAAGCAAAAACAGGTTTTATTATTGTTGATCTTCATCTTATGGTAACATTTCGGTGAAAATTTGTTAACTACATTGCACGACAATTCTTTATAATTTTAGAAGAAGAAGCAAATGTAATATTTACCACAGTGAATACCTTTACACAAGGTCAAATATGCTTTTTGTTTCAAATGAAATAATGAATCTAATATTGTTACCATGATGCCATGATAATTAGAAATTTATTAATGTAATAATAACTTTATTATAACTTAATTAGCACTGAACGAATATAAAAATGAATTTGCAAGTCTTCTATTGTAGGTTGATATCAACCAAATTAATATGTATCATATTGGTTACCAATTCTTGTTTACGAAAAAATTACTGCTAAAATTCTTCTTCTGTTTTTATGTGTTGGCATTGACTGATTACACATTAGTTCAGATAAAATCAGTACTAATGATTGTTGTTAAGGTAGATGGGGTGTCTAAATTATAATCCATAGAATTTTTTAATAATTTGCCAAAATGTAGTTTATATCATGCTTTTTAAAAAATAATAATAAAAAGAATGGGTCACGGGGCTTATTTTCACGATACAGGTTGTGCAAAATTGACAGATTTTGTATAGATTATGCATGGAAAACCCAATTTTCTGCCATAAAACGAAAACTACACCATAGAATTTTGAGATAGAATATGAGAAGATAGCTCTAATAGTATGCTTTCAGATAAGAAAAAGAAAAAATGGGGTCACGGGACCCGTTTTCTTGCTACATAATAAAATAGGTAAATCATAACACATTCTATTGTAAAAATAACTTTATCTGAATTATCTGCCCTTACATTTGAGTTGCCTCCCCTTATGTGGCAAAGTTGGAAAAAATAGAATCAAACAAAAGTATTCTGTTTTTTGTAAAATACAACCATAAATATGATAAAATGTGTCATTTTATATATTGAAATGAAAATGCTTACACATGAATTACCTACTACTCTCTAAATTTGCACCTTTTATTAAAGATCTAGACCGATTGTTTTCTGGTATTTCAAAATCCGAGATGGAGGAAGACACCCTATCTACCTTAAGCAAGTAAATTGTTTTATCCTGTCACATCTTCAAATCAAAATCAACTATTTATGAATATTTCATTTCAGAAGAATGAACTGCTTAACCTATGAGTTTCAACCACCTTAAAATTGACACAAGCTGAGAAGACAAAAAATGAATTTAGATTTTGAAAAAAAAGGGCCTTTTTTAAGCTCATTTTTTTTTGATACATGTATCTTCAGAATATATCCTAAAAATGTCTTAGTTGAATATCAGAATGCCTGGGATGACTCACCATCTATGAATATTGAGAACATTAGATCATGTGAACAGAAGTTAATTGAACTTGATAAAAAAGAACTGGAAGTCTTTTTGCAGAAATTTGTTACTGATCATTTATGCTCAGACTGGTTCAGCCCTGGTTGTTTCATTTACCTTGAAGAAATACATGCATTATGTGTACTTCTTCACTTGATTCGTGTATTTTGCATACCTGGTCAGGAAGAGAAAATAAAATTAGTCCAGGTTCGTCTAAATGAAGTGCTACATACCGAGACAGAAGGAAAGATATATCAAATATTTGAAAGATACCTATCTCAACGACAAGTCAAGTCAAACTTAACAGAAATTGATATGTTAACTGGCCAGATAGATAGACAGCATCAATTTCTGATGAAACTCTGTTACTGGGATACACTCTGTGCTAAAAATGAAAATGAACGCTGCAAAGAATTTCTAATAAAAAATGCAGATTTTTTAGTATCAAATATAGAAGGAAGGCCAAAAAATTTTCAGAGGAATTTTCTCTGGAATCATAAATTAAATATTGAACTTATTTTCTGCAAAATACTGCTGTGTCTTTTAAATTGGAACATATGTAAAACACAACACCCAGTTATCCTTCAAAATACGGAAGCGCCAGCTTCTTCATCAATAGCCTTAGTAGCTGATGCATCAGTAAACTATTCATGCACAGCATGCAAAGTAAGTAATATACTGCAAAAACTTTTGTCACCTCTTTCTGAAGATGATATATTTACAGTATTCAACAACTACCTTAACAAAATGTATGCAATGGAATCAGATTTAACAGAAGATGACTTTTGTACTGATAATATTGGGCCATATTTTGAATTTATGTTGAAACTTTGTTCCTGGAATTACATGTGCAATGAAAAAGATTATGAAAGATGTAGGGAATTTCTTAGAAGAAATGCTGATTTGTTTGTATCACATATTGAAAAAGTGGTGCATGGGAATGAAAAAAAAACAAAACTTGCTTCCTGCAAGATCATTCTATGTCTTTTAAACTTGAACATCTGTAATCAGAAAGCAACATTCATCCGATCAAGAATCCAGAACAGTGAAATACAAGCATCATGCTCATTCCAATCAGAAGCAGAAAACACAGCAAAAAATGCATGTACAGTGTACAAAGTAAGATGTGTACTGCAAAACTTATTATCAACTCTGACAGACAATGATATCTCTAAAGTATTCAATGGCTATATTGATCAAATGTATGCAATAAAATCAGAAATTACTCCACATGGCTTGTGTATTGGTGAAACAGAATCACATCATGAATTCCAGTTGAAACTTTGTTACTGGAGGACAATTTGTGAGAAAAATGATTATGAAGCTTATAAAAAATTCATCCAACTGTATCCTGAGGTTTTAGTATCACATATAAAAAAAAGAATTGTTCTGTGCCAAGGAACAAAAACAAAACGTTTTTTTTGCAAGACATTACTGTGTATTTTGAACTGGAACATTTGTACTTTAAAAACAGCTCCACTCTTGGTTCAAAAAGCAGAAATACAGGCTTCTTCATCAGTTGTCATAATAGCTGACTCACCACCAAAATACTCTTGCACTGCAGAAACAATAAGGAGTATACTACAAACATTATTATCAACTTTCTCTGAAGAAGAAATATTTACAGCATTCAACAACTATCTTGACATATTGTATGCAATGAAATCAGAAATAACAGAAGCTGACTTTTGTACTGGTAAAATAGAGCCATATTATGAATTTCTGTTAAAACTCTGTCACTGTCAGAAACTGTGCAATGAAAATGATGAAACTTACAGGGAATTTCTCAGAAAAAATTCTGATTTTATAGTTCCCCAAATTGAAGAAGTGGTTGATAAGAAGAATACAAAAACAAAACTTATATCCTGTAAGGTGCTGTTATGTCTTTTTAAATGGGACATATGTAGTCCGAAAACAGCATATACACCTCTTAAAAATATTTTAAGTCAGATGCTCTCCCAAAAGGCAGACTATCAAGATTTCATGAATGAAAATGCTCTGTTATTTGTATCAATGGTACACACAGCGATAAAAAGAAATAATATTCCAGTACTGATCATCTTATGTGATGTTCTACTTTGTATTCCTTACAAAGAATGTCACTTTCGTGATGTAACAGGTGCGATTAACAAATTAATCAGGTACTATGCAAAACAAGTTGCAATTGATAAAAAGATCTGTGAATGGATTATCTTGTTAGGACACAGACTATTGAAGTACACTAAGCATAAAAAGGAAATACAGAATCATAGTGCTGCTGAAAAAATACATTATGATTTTCAGATGTTCATCAACTTTCTCAGTGAATTATTCACTGAAGCAATTCATGATGGGACAACTTTTGATTTGCTTAACAATGCTTTCAGAAAAAAAACCTGTCTTTATGACTATCTTTATGATGACTATGAAAAAAAATACTGTGATGGCATTTATGGTATATATCAAACCAAATTTTGCATAAAAAATCAAATAGATGACGAACACCTTAATGAACTATGGAAAGCCAAACTTACATGTAAAGTGAAATCAATACAATTTTCAAACTATATTAGAAAAAAAAGAAAGAACTTATATTTCAAAATTGATGAAAATAAAACAACAAATAAGAATGGTTTGGAATGTGACTTTGCAAAAACACATTTGAATTTCATTGGTGCATTTGAGGCAGAAGTCAAAGAAGATCAATTGAAAGTCAAAACCTTAGATGATCAAATTAAAGCAATTCTCATTACTGATGAAATGGTGAAGAAATCTCAGCTATCTAAAATGCTAGTTCTTCTCATTATGTTATTGGTAGTAGGGACATCAACTGGACATCACAAGTCGGCGAAACTGAAGAAGTACCTGACCCTTAAATATGAATATCATATGGCATGTCTTTACCTCCTATGGTGTTCAGGGGATATTGAAGTTCATCCAGGACCTTGTATGAAAAAGAAATCATTGGTTCATGATTCCTCTATAGAGAGAAGATGGATTCAAAATATAAGTCTTAAGATTATCATTAGATTGCCAGAACTATTACAGTCTAAATACACAGCATCAAAAAAAGTAAGAAATGACAGAGAGAACAAGGAGCATTTCAAAACTTTGTTGAAAACATGCTTGGAAGTAAACGTACATGTACCAAAGATGTACCAATCTGAAATAAATGCTTGGGAAACCATGGAATATAAACTTTTACATAAACTATTTGTTTATCGATGTGAAATTGAGACAATTATGACATCACTCAAAGATTTTCTTACATTTGGAGGAGGCACTGAAGATCTCACTGATATCAATGTTCGTTTTGATACTGAACTTAAGACAAATGAAATTGCAATGGACCTTGGGAAATATCAGAGGCCTAAAGACAAATCACAACTGATGGTCTACATCACACGTCATATAGCTGGTATTTCAATCAAATGTGCACATGGAAAGGACCCTGATGTCAAGTGTGATGGACTATGGGACCTGCCTTTGGAAAACTGGCCAAAAGATATTATACTTTTTGATCCAAACAATAGAGGTACTTATACAATTCCTGGGCAAAAACTCATTCCTGATCAGGAACTGGTTGATATTCTACTAACAATCCCACAGATTACTATTCCTCAGAAATACAAAGATATAGTAGACGCCTTTAAAGCCATGAGAAAAAGCAAAACCAAGCAGAAGAAAGCAGAACTTTGCAGTATTTTTAAAAGGACAACAAGCTTAGAAAAACTTGATTACGCACTGAAGAACCTCAGTGACAATGGAATATTAACAGAAGAAGTACATGACATTCTTACAAAATGGTGGACAACTGGAGCTGTTGAAACTGAATATGACAAAACACAGTCACTAGAAAATATGGATGATGATAATAAAAAAAGACGACCACATATTTCAATAAATATAGGCACAGAATTTATTACACTTGCTATTGAACCAACCAGTAAATTTAGTTCAAAGGTGAGTTATAACTTTCCATTCAATGATGAACTTGTTCCACTAAAGATGATGGCTACTTCTGCAAGTCAAACTACAGTACAAAATCCTTCAAATGACTTTCACCATAAGATCACTGCAAAGAAAAACCTTACTCTGTCACCACTATCTGATGCAAATCCTGCAGACAATCAAACTGATTCAATCACCATTCCACAAGAGACGATGGATATTTTAAATTCAATTATTAATTTTGATTCCAGCAGTCAAGCAATATTTGAAAGTGACATCAAACTTCAATGCAAAACATCAACTCAAGATCCTGCTTCTAGCTCATTGACTCATGTGAACCAAACAATCTCTTCAACATTCCAATTCAGTCAATCAATCCAAAATATTGCAATTTCTGCGCAACCAGTCCCCATATTATGTACTCCTCATCAATCAACTACCAATCCAGATGACCTAGGACATTTGCATTCAAGTGACACCAATGTCTCTCAAAATCTTAATTTGTACAAGCAAGTTTCCCCAACAAGTGATATGGGCTCATCTGATTCAATATCTTCAGTCAATTCAGAGGCTGGAAATGAAGAAAGGGACCAAAACTACACTTTAAATGAGGGTCAAGATCAATTAACTGATTCAGATTACAGTTCAGATAGTAGCAACAACTATGTTTCAAAAAAAAGCTCGAAGGTATGCATTGTTATTAACAGGATTATGTATAGTTTACTGAATTGAGTTTTTCACTCTCTTTTAGGATTTTTTACTTATTCATTAGAAGATTTTTTTTTTTCTTTTTTGAAGAATACCATGGTTTACAAATTATTAATACTGTGAAATATCAGCTATATTTTCACTAATTGATTATCTGAAGATTTCAGGGGAGATAATCAGTCAAATATATATTTTGTTATTTTTATGGGGAAAAAGAGGCGGAAGATGGCAAAGGGACAATAAAAACTAAAAAAAAAATATCAACAGACAAACAAGTCTATACAACACTATAAATAAAACTAAAGATTAAGAAACAAAAATCCAAAGTAAAACAGGAGGATATCTCATGTGTACCAGTAGAGTAAGCAAATCCTGTTCCATATGTGGTACCAGTCATGTTGATCATGGTAAGTTCGAATTCTGTGGCAAGTCTCATTCTGTTATGTCACAATTAAGGAAAAGATTACTGAATTGTTGCTACGTCAAAATTGGAACATATTCCTGTTTATCTGTGACAGACAGTGACACAGATGTTCCATAACAGTCAACCATTTCATGACTTCTGTAAAATTTTTAAGGGTGACTTCAACTTTATCACTATGAACTTATACAAATGGAACTCAAAAAAATTTTGTATCTTTTTGTCAATTTATTGAAAGGAAGAAAATTGTAACCACTTACAAACTTATTATAATTTTCAGAAAAGAAAATGCATAAAAGAACACAGAAATGAGACGAAAAAAAGAAAACAACCATCACTGAAGCAAGACAAGAAGGTACTATTTTTCAATATAAAAACTCAAGTTATATTTTTTGGTACAAGTGTACACCAGACACACAACTGATATAAGTAATTGGCTCAAATGCAGATTTGGTTTCAACCATACAAAAGAGGATATGAAAAAGGACATTACAATTTACGAATACACAATTAAGAGTTTTACCTTTGAAAACTTTTCTAAGTTATATAGTATAAATGCTACTAATTAATTAAATCTGCTGATTTTGAAACAATCACTGTACAGAAGAGCATAAGAACAAAATCAACTGGTTTTCATTAGATATGTCTTAAACTTTTTAAAATTAAATGTTTTTTCTGCCTACAGCTAACAGAGACCAACAACAGTAAGATAGCACCTCCAATGGATAAGTCAACTATATCCAATAAAAACATGGAACTTTTGTTGGACCATTTCGACATTGACTTAGATTCATTTAATATTGATGAACAAACTTTTGATGTGAAACTGAATACTATTGATAATGAAGATAAAAACCTGCAAATATGTGACAAAGATGGAAATCTAATGAATGGTGAAACGCAAATGTCTAACGAAAATACAAAACTCAGTGCTTACAATATCAATGTTAGTACTGAACTTGAAAAGTTTTTACAAGACATGATTAACTGTGAAGGTGGAAAAATGTCACATATGAAATCATATGTTTAAGATGTGTAAACATTCCTTTTTGCTTCATATTGTATAATTTTCTTTTAGTTTATTTCTAAATTGTGTACTATTTTTTTTTTTTTTTTCAATCATGTTTATATAACACTCAATAACTTTGTTTCACTTTTTATAAGGCTTTTTGTGTCCTGAAATTATAGAATACTATGAAACTTGTCAACATTTCTTCTAAGAACAATTCCATCTTTTATCAATTCTTATGTCAGACTATCAAGTATATTTCTTTATCTTATTATCCAACTTACTCATTGAAAATATGTAATAATACTTGTCAAAAAAGGTGAAAACTCAGAATTGTTTGTTGTTTGCAACAATTTTCTAACAAAAAACAATACAGAAATAAGATGTTGCATGATTGCCATGGAGACAACTATTAAAAAGGATTGAAATTTAGTATTCCAGACACGTTTTTCGTCTACAACAGACTATTCAGTAAAGCTTGAATAAAATAAATGTGGATAGTGTTCACATGTGGACACAGATGATGCCCCCACTTGCATATCATATAGTTATAAAGAGACATAACTGAAGAACGGTAAAAGTGACGCTACCCAAAAATTTTGCAATAATAAGCACTGTGTGTAAGTCTCATAACATTTGGTTGAGGCTAACTTAAGTAGAGAGCAGAAACTGAAAATTCAGCAATTTTTCTTTTTGTAATAAAATTGAGAATGGAAATGGGGAATGTGTCAAAGAGACAACAACCCGACCACAGAACAGACAACAGCAGAAGGCCACCAACAGGTCTTCAATGCACTCATAACTCTAGAACGGCTGTGTATAAGTTTTATAACATTTGGTTGAGACAAACTAAAGTTAGAGAACGGAAAGAAACTGAAAAATTCAGCAAATTTTATGTTTATAAAGGGACATAACTCAAGAATGGTAAAAGTGTCGCCACCAAATTGCGTACTTAATCTGTATTAAGTAGTAATAAGCATTGTGTATAAGTTTCATAACATTTGGTTGAGGCAAACTAAAGTAAGAAAACGGAAGCAAAAAATTTGTACTAGATCTTAGTTTGTGGTAATGAATATTGTGTATAGGTTTCATAATGTTTGGTTGGGGCAAACTTAAGTTACAGAATGGAAACTAAAAACTTTGCAATCTTTTGATTTATAAAGGGGCATAACTCAATAATGGTTAAAGTGACACCACCCAAATTCAACTTGATCTGTGTTTTATCAGTGGAAGTCAAAATTAAACATTGCATTGTATAAAGCATTGATTGTAGTTGACAGTAGCCCTTTTTTGGCCCCAAATTCCTTAACATTTAGGGCAATTACCACCAAACTCAATCCAGCTTTCCCTTTGTGATATGGAACCTTGTAGTACAATTTCATAAAGATCCATACACTTACACAGAAGTTATTGTACTGAAACTAGAAAAATGCTTGTTTTTTGCCCCTTTTTTGGCCCCTGGTTCCTAAAATTTTGAGGCAATTACCCCCAAAATCAATCCCAGCATTCCCTTTGTGATATGGAACCTTGTAGTACAATTTCAGAAAGATCCATAGACTTACACACAAGTTAGTGTCATGAAACTAGAAAAATGCTTGTTTTTTGGCCCTTTTTAGGCCCCAAATTCCTTAACATTTAGGGCAATTACCCCCAAACTCAAACCCAGCTTTCCCTTTATGATATGGAACCTTGAAGTACAATTTCAGAAAGATCCATACACTTACACACAAGTTATTGTACTGAAACCAGAAAAATTTTATTGCGGTCGTATAAAAATTACTTGATATTTAGAAGAAAATAAAAATATTTTGCAATTTTTCCATTTATAAAGGGGCATAACTCTAGAACAGTTAATGTGATGCCACCAAAATTCAAACTTGATCTGTGTTTTGTAGTAATAACATTGTGTATAAGTTTCATAACATTTGGTTGAGGCAAACTTAAGTTAAAGAACGGAAACCAATTATGGGACGTACGTACAGACGGACAAGGGTAAAACTTAATGCCCCCACCCCTACGGCGGGGGCATAAAAAATTTCAATAGGCCAAATAAAGTACGAAGTTGAAGAGTACTGAGGTCCCAAAAATCCGTAAAGTTTTGTCAAATACAGCTAAGGCAATCTATTCCAGAGGTAGAAAAGCCTTTATATTTCGAAAATTCAAAGTTTAGTAAACAGTTAATTTATAATTATGACATATCAATGAAAATTCATGTCAACACAGAAGGGCTGGTGATATTCTCGGGGAGGAAACCTCCACCAGCAGTGGCATCAATGGTACTTTACAATGAGAAAATCAACAATATACAATGTGCGCTGAAGAAACATTTAACAATATTAATATTAGAATGCAGCAGAAACTTGTAAATAGGTTTGTAAATATTGTGATTTTGCTAGGTACATGGTATATAAATTTCCATTAGAATTATTAGCCCTTCTGTGTCATTTGCTATGTCAATATTCTTTTTCAAATAATTTTACTTCCATTTTGTTGTTTTTGAAGTGCTTATATATTATATGAAATTGCAAGGTTTAGCAGTTGTCAAAACCATGTACATCTTGCACAGTGTGCTATTCAGCAATACATGTATAACTACCAAATTATTTTTCTCGGCAAAATCAGTGATAAATTTTCAATGTATGATATCTTAATTGTTTAATATGATTCAAATACACCGTATCTGTATATAATGTTTATATGTTTGAGTACTTTTATTTTGTACAATGTATTAAAATTTTCTCACCAGAAATATTTTGAAAAAAAAAAAATGCCATTGTTTTTTTGTTCTGTTTTATCTGTGTCAGGTATACAACAAAAAGATTTTATGAAAATATATCACTTGAAATTAACATGCACAATTTCATGCAGGAACTTTCAGAATCAAACATCTATACCATCACTTGCAGAGTAATGATGAACAAAAGACTTTACATTGTTTATCAAGATCAAAACAGCAGCTCTTTTCACACAAAAAAATCTTATGAACAGTGAGTGAAAATGGTCTCAGACATTTAAATTCATTCTAAGACATTTTTGAATTTTCATGGTATTTCATTCTACCTTCCAACACATTGACGCAATCAAATTGGTAAGCACCTACATGCATCTGCTTTAAAACTTAAAGAATAATCTTATATTTATAAAAAATATTTGTATACACAGGTTTGTCTATAATGGCAGCATGTTATTATGAATAAAGGTTAATGTGGGATATGTTTCAATGAGACAGCAACCCAATGACAAAAATAAACAAAAGATACAAATGTGTCTACAGGGCAAAACACAGTCTTTAAATGGAGACAGGTATCCATACAATATGTCAAGCTTTAAATTGGCTGGAGTCTACAAAATTAGTAAATACTTTGTGCCTGTACCAAGTCAGCCTATCTGGACCATATGTTGTTTGTTGCTGTTTGTCTTATTTGAATCTTTTTTTTTAGAGGAGTCCAGTGTTGGTAGTTTGTTAGTCCATTGTTCTGTCCAATATTTTTGGTCATTCCTGTAATCCATTTTATGTATTATAAACAAGCCGTAAACTGTTATAACTAAAGATTTGGGAAATCAAACTCCCATGAAATTCAGAAGTCATATCAGGTGTTAACATGATAAGGTATATCATACTTGACTTGCAACCCCTTCCCAGTCACAAAAGCCAATTTAGTAACTCTATAAATCAGCAAGAGGAAAGGAAACACCTTATGATTCATAGGAGCAGGACTCAAACAACTATAAATGTTACTTAACATTCGACTACTAAGATGGGTAAAGCAGTTATGACTCGTTTCTGTTTATTTTAATTTCAAATTAAAGAATGTATCTCTGTTTTGTATAGCTCATATTCATCAAGTTTGGCCTTACATTTACACTTTTTTATCAGCTCTTCAATGTTTGTTTTGGTTTTAAACTTTCAAATATTTTGGCCAAGCACATCACAAGAGAGATATTATTTTCAAAATGTGCATCTGGTTGAGTAAAATTGGAAAAGTTTTTTTAAACTGATATAGGGAAACAAAATACATGAAAGGTTTCCAGTGGCTTTTTCCCTCTCTTTCCGTAACTTAATTCAAATGTCAGAAAAGAAGCACTATTCCTTTGTTATGGATTTTGTTGTTAATTTATTTCATAATTTAATACATCATATCTCTTCTTTTTGGGCTTGTGTTTTATGCACTATTGTTTGTCTGTTGGTCTTTTTCTTTTTAGCCATGGCGTTGTCAATATAAACAAGAGGCTATCAAGAGCCTGAATCGCTCACCTGTAATGTTTGCTTAAATCTTTCATCAATGATTATTTTTGCTTTTCAATATATATTAATGAATGGCTTAAAACTTCCATTGAAATGTTCTTTGTATTTGTCATATTTTCTTCAAAATCAAAGAAATGCATTTTACCCCTATGTTTCATTTTAGCCATAGTGGCTATGTTTTAGTGACAACAATGGGTTATCAGATTCAACTGAAAATTTCAGCGCTGATAGAACTTCACCTAATTAACACTTTAACCCCATGTCAGATTTGCTCTAAATGCTTTGGTTTTTGAGATATAAGCCAAAAACTGCATTTTACCCCTATGTTCTATTTTTAGCCATGGCGGCAATGTTATTTGACGAAACAGTAAATAAAACACAAACTTTATTCTAGATACCATAAGCATCATTCAACTTAAGTTTGGTTGGAATTGGTTCAGTAGTTTCAGAGGAGAAGATGTTTGAAATAGTTTACACCAGACAGAGGACGACGGACGATGACGGACGACGACGGACGCCAAGTGATGGCAAAAGAGGATGTGGTATGATTGCCAATGAGACAACTCTTCACAAGAGACCAAATGACACAGAAATTAACAACTATAGGTCACCGTACGGCCTTCAACAATCAGTTTATTTTCGACTTATGAGTTTGAATGTCACTTTGGTATCTTTCGCCTCTCTTCTATTACTGTGGATTTTTCTATTTTTGTTGGTACCAATTTTTGTAGATTCAGTAAAACTAGTATTTTCATGGAATTTTGATTTCGTGGTTTTGACAAAGTCTGCATACAAGCCTATAGAAAATGTGTACTTTGTTGGACATTTCAATATGTGGTTTACCTAAAACCACAAAACCAACGAAAATTGGTAACCCACAAATAATCATGAATCCACAGTAGAACAAATTAAAACCTTAAAACCTGAGAACAACTAAAAAGCCCAAGGAGAAGTCAACCATTGCTTTATAAATCTAAATTTTCTATCTTTGATGTTGCATTCTGTTTAACAATGACCTCTTTATATAAAGACATGATTTGGTTGCCAATGAGACAACTATATCCTCCAAAGTCGTTAGTCTTGAGGACCAGAGAGTGAACATCTACACACAGTGTACATGTTTTACATATACCATATCCCTAAAAGTTGTTCCACTCCATATAAAAAAAAATATTTGAGGTACTTCTTCCAGTATATTTCAACTATCTGATATCAAGTTATTTGAATTTTTAAATATACACATGTACTAATTGGAAAATGTTTATTTAAAAAAAAAAATATGTTGTCTTCATTCTAACTTTATTTCTATACTGTTTAAACAAATTTTGTACAAGGCCTTCTTTGTGGCAGGAGTTCAAGGTAACTTGTGTCATTTAAAACATTTGTTATTATTCTATAATTGAAAACCAATATACCATTTCAAAATAAAACTAATTACAATACTGCCATGATCATGTCTCTTTAAATAAAGTGTACGTTTTAATGCACCATTACCCGAGGAAACTGCAGGTCATTTAATTTGTTAGGAAATATTTCTGTCTTTTTTTCAACTAACATATAATTAATTCTTTAAAAGTTAGTCACTTCTTGTCAATTATTCTGCTTTTATTGTAACAGAAATAAAACAAGTAAAATACCTATATTAATTAAATGCAAAGTCACCTTAAAAGGCTCCTTAAAAATTCCATTCATATAATTTAACAAATTATTCTAAATCAATTTGCTTACAGTGCCTAATTCTTACTAAAACAAATACACAATGTATTTATAAATAGTGCTGATATGTATTTACCTCTTTAAATTTACAATACAACAGAATGGGAGTCAAGCATAAATTTACCACACCTTCAACTTGTGCTGCTTCAAAAAGATTTTATCATTGAATTCACATTCTTAAATGATAAAAACCTCAATGGCTTCCTCAACAACAGTAAGAAGAGCACCTGCTCCCAAACCTTGTGGGATTTGTGAAAAGACAGCTAATATTAACTGGAAATGTGACCAGTGTAACTGGTACTTGTGCGATCAATGTAAAAAGGTACATGTAATGGTCGATACTGTAACAGAACATACTATTATTGTTATTCGAACAACTGGTGCCCTCAAGGACGTAGAAGTTGGTCAAGAAACAGGGACCAGTTTCGCAGCAGATAATATTCCATGTTCGAAACACAAGAACATGAACTCAATGTTCTGCCAGACTTGTGAACAGTTAGTTTGCCCTGAATGCATTGCAAACTTTCACGAGGAACATGCTTTGGATCCAATCAATAAAATATGTGAGGAGAAGCTCAACACACTGAAAGACCATGGAGTTAGAGTGTCACAGGATCTATTCAACTGTCAAACAAAAATAAAAGAACTTGAAACAGCAGAAAATGAGCAAAACTTAAAGTACAAGGATATAGTAGAGCAAATTGATGAAAAAGCTTCAGAGCTAAAAGAAGCCATTAGCAAGTATGCAAGGGATCTTCAAGAAAAAGTTGAATCAGCAAGAAAAACAAGAGAAAAAGTTTTTCAAATGAAAAAGAAGCAAATGGAAGAAGCTATAAGCGCTCTTCAAGATGAAGAAACTAAGCTAAAGAAGGCAATCCATTCAAATCATGCTGGAACAATCTTCACAGCTACTTCTGAGCTCACAGAAAGTGTACCAAACTACTCATTTGATGCACAATCTTCAGATATCATTGATTTCACTCAAGGTGAGACAACTTTGAAGAAAATAATTGACTTGTTTGGCTTACTGAGACATAAAGAAGAATCGATTATTGATTTCAAAGTTTTGAAGAGCTACACAACAGACTTCTCCTTTGTGGATACAGTTTTAACAACTGATGACAAAACTGCATTGATCTCCAATCCTACCGTGAAAATTGTACGACAAATTACATCAAGCGAAAAACTCAAAACCCTAAAAGAGATCTCTGTTAAGATCTTCGATATGGCTTCAACATCTAACAATGAAATTCTGATGTCAATGTTTGGAAGTCCTGATGTAAAATTACTGAAACCAACAGGCCAATTCCAACAATTTATGTCAGTATCACCCCTGTTTCCATTGGCACTTCACGTTACAAAGTCAAATGAAGTTTTAATAGGTGTGAAAGACGAAGGAGAGAATTTCAGCCCGACACACATCAGCATTCGAAAAATTCTTACTTTCAGTATGGATGGGAAACAAAGAAGATCATATGAATATGTCGGACAAAAGCAAAGGCTTTTCACACTTCCATACAGCATAAGGACTTACCATAATGGTAATATTCTAACTATTGATAGGAAAAGCAAGATAGGTGGCCGAGTCGTTACCATAGGCAAGGATGGGAAATTAAAATGGATCTATAATGGAAACATTTCAATCAATACAAGGGACACTCCATTTAACCCACATGACATTGTAATAACCACCATGGGGTACATCATAGTGGCTGACAACAACACCAATGCTTTCCATGTACTGTCTGGCAATGGGGAGCTACTAACCTGTAAAGTGATGAAAGATCAGGGAATATCAATTCCAAATGCACTGGACATTGACAACACTGGACAATTATGGGTTGGATGTTGTGCAGACAAAGGAAAAACAAATGCAAAATTGCACATTGTCAAAATCTTATAGAATTTAGGCATTTTTTGTAAATTGATTTTTTAGAGGTTTTTTTTTCATATCACTAGTTTGCATATTACCTCTTCTGTAACTTAATTGAAATAAAACTTCTTTCCATTAAACTTTTAAAATTTACTATTTTTTTCTGATAGGAAAAGAGATAATGCTGATCTAAGGGAGATAACCATAATATTTTTATTAATCCATTACATTTACAATTATTTGTCTTAACATCAAATTGGGGTGGACAAATTCTGAAAAATTCTTTCTGCATCTTTTCCTGCAATATATCCACACATTCTTACCTTACTTTTTTTCTGGAAATCTGTGTTCTTTTCCCCAAATGAGAATTTTATTTTCCTTTCTTCTCCTGTAGGTTAACAACAGAAATATTCTTACCTTTTACATGTTTTTCTGGACTTCTAAATTTTATCTGTGAACCAAAAGTGTGTAAATTTCTGTTGACATACTTCAGGAAACTTTCAGCAGTTCTTCTGGCAAGGGTACAGGCCTGAAATACAAGTTTAATTGTTTTTTATCCTCCTTTTCCAAAGTCAGGAACATTATCAATCAATGTCCTTTTTTTCTTAATTCTTAATATTAGTCCTATTTTTTTTTAATTTGGTGTTGATCACAGGTCTCTACTCAATATCATTTGCATATTCATACATTATTTTACAGCCAAGCTATAAAACATATCTAGATGTGTCCTGTTTGTTTAAATGTTTCGTTTCTGTATTTTACATTGAGATTATGAGCAATTAATAACAGTACTGTAAATTTAGAAATTATTGCATGAATTTTTATTTAGATCTTTTAAGAATGGAGAAAAATGCAAGATTAATTATTGCGAATTCAGAAAAAGCTGCATTGCGATAATCACAGTCGCATTATTCCATTTATAAAACCTCACAATAATTTCTGAATTTACAATATCTGTGAGATTGCATTGCCAGCTATAGTCTGTAATTAATTAATATTGCCCTGGAGTTCTTCAATGCACAGTTGCAGCATCATCAACATCTAGCAAATAGTTACGTTTATACTAGTGCAATGAGTCATTTTGAAAATACAGTTAGGTGGGAGCTTTTGCTCCAAGGTTTTATTTTGTGTTTTTTCTTGTCCCCGAGATTCAGAATTTTAAAAAAGATCATACTTTATGTAAGGTTTATGTTTTTTGCAATTTGGTAAAAATCAGCCCCCAAAATTCGTTTGGAATAACCTGCAGTGTATGTACTGGTCTCCCTTCTTGGATGAATCGAGACACTTCCAAATCTCAGCATATTCCTGCCTAAAACAATGACAAAGCTTCTTCTGCTTGTCTTTTTCATTTTCCCCCTCAACGTTTCCTCCATGATACTTTCGTTTCGCATCGCTCCATGTGTCAAACTTGACAGTCACGATCACCAGAGCCTTTGGAAGACATACTTCTATTAGACACAAATTTAAATACTGCCGATTCGTTTACTAGAACATCTTTGGAAGCGAAGAAATTACCTATTTGGGAGTAGAGCGTAATTTGAGTGCCAAAAATCGTAAAATCTACACTAAAATTGTAGTGGTAAACAGGTCTACAAAAATAATAATCCACTTCACAGTAAATAATGTTATAAAAGATTGCATGTGTATAGAATACCCCTTACCTTCAAAAAGGCCTCTTTCTGTTCATTATGTTTATTAATTAACTGTAATAAATAATTAGCTTTATCTCCTGTATTGGCCCTCTCAGTGCTACACCAGTCTTCATCTCGTTTATAATCAGCATCTAAACTTTCCAACACAGACCAGACCTGCAAAATATAGCAGAATTGTGATCAGCAATTCTAATAAACAGCTGAGCCAAGAGCGCATGATATGCCCTTATTGTGCATATTGAAATTGCTGCAAAAATAAAATGGGATATTTAGAGGGTAATCAATCAGAAGCAAATAAAATGGCTCTGTAAATAAAATGGAGACACAGATGATGCCCCCGCCCGCTTACATATAACGTTATAAAGGACATAACTAGAGAACTGTAAAAGTGACACCACCCAAATTCATACTAGATCTGAGTTTTATGGTAATAAGCATTTTGTATAAGTTTCATAACATTTGGTTGAGGCAAACTAAAGTTAGAGAACGGAAACTAATTTTTGGGGCGTACGTACATACAGACGGACAAGGGTAACACTTCATGCCCCCTCCGCTGCATAAAAAACCTGCAACAGGATACCCATAGAAGTATAAATATTGTGTTAAATAAAAGTAGTAAAAGTTCCTTAACTCTGGAATGACAAAATGAAAGCAAGTCTTCATTCACCTATCACAACAGTGTTGAGTTTGTAAAAAATTGATTCAAGCATACTAGAGCTAGTGCATGACATTTTAAAAATGCCTTATTTATTTGATGACAAAAGTCCCATAACTCTGGAATTTTTAAACAAATTAAACAGTGTATTATATTCATCAGTTCCAACAATTATATAAAGTTTCCAGTAAATCAATCCAAACAAACTCAAGGTTTGGTACAACATGTGAGAAACTTGGTCCTGTAATTCTGAAATGACAAACCAGAAAAAAAAAAAAAAAATAAAAATGGAGCTTACTTCTATCAAGCACAACAATAATGTAAAGTTTGCAGAAAATCAATGTAAAGTCCTGTAACTCTGGAACGCCATGGCCAAAAATTTGACAATTTAGTGAATATGGATACTTTATCTAACAGAAACTATCTGAACATTGATATAATTAGAACTTTTTTGATCGTGGTATAAGTCAAACTTGTAATGTATTAACCAACCTGTTCAGCAGTTTTGTACCAGTTCATGGACGCCATTACAAGTTTATGTCTCTCTTCTGTATGATACATCAGCTGTTGCCAGGCAAATGTGACGTTCTCTGCAATGGCTCGAATTAGATCAGAATTAAAATGGTGGGCTTGTATCATATTCTCAGCTCGCTGTGTCACCTGGGCCATGCTTATATTTGTTTTCTGAAAGATGAAAATAAATCTATAATCTAACATATAGTTTTTAGTATTGAAGAATTGAATGCATCTCTTTTTATAGTGTTATTTGATCAAAAGTGCCTTAAGTTCATTTAATACATAACAATAATATTAGTAAAGAATTCACTTTATATATAGAGAGAATATCATATGGCTTTCCACCAGAGACACCAATATAATCCCAATAGCTCTGCTCCAGGGATTATATCGGTTGAGGGTTGATACAGGGTGTGATATTAAAAAAGCCATATCATATACAATTTATTATATACTTCAAGTAGATGTTTTTTCCCCCGTAAGTTGATGTAATACAGATTAGGGGTTTGATAAAGCCTTTACAAGCATGACTGATATCGATGATGTGACGTCATGGAGTTTAAGGGTTTGATAAAGCTTATGTAACTGTGACAGATATCGATATCATCACGGATGGTTGATACAGCACGATTGTCATTGATTGTATTACACATACAGTTTACCTGTATTTACTACTTAGTATATAATAAACATCTTTATCATTATCTTCCAAAATTTATTTGCAATTGATTGTTCATTTTTGGCAATCAGAACAGCAATTATTACTTCAGCATCATGTGCTGTTAGATAATAAAGCTTAGAAACCATATGTGATCCTATGTACCTATAACACCAACTGCCATGTGATGACAATTGATAAAATATGATTATAAGTATTACTGTAAATTCATTATCATTCATTGGATATCAATTTACGTGGATTTCATGGGTACAAAGGTACCATGAATTTAAATGTTCAATGAATTGCAAATTTTCTATAGGAATATATGCAGACTTCAGGAAAACCACAATAAAACTACAGCATATAACCACAAAAATGTAAGTTTTTCTCAACCCACTAAAATAATTGAATCCACAGTATGTTATACATTAGGCCAATGCATGCAGAAGTCAGGTTTGATTGTAGGTGCTCTGTCCTTTGCCTCGTCCCTTGCTTCCTCAGAATGTTGGTACACATGACCCATCAAATGCAACGTAGATATTGCAACCTTGCCTTCCCTTGTCCCTAGGTGCCAGCAGGATGATTGTTAGAATTGTTAAGGTACACCACTTTTATAAATATCATCTGTAAGTAATACATACCTCAATAGCATGCATGAATTGTTCATGTTCTTTCTTCAGAGATTCAGCCTCCATTAATGAATTTGGACAGGTAAAACAACTGATTAACATGGACTTCCCATGGTCTATCCAGTATATCACCTAAAATACAGACATTAAAACAACTGATTAACATTGACTTCCTATGGTCTATCCAGTATATCACCTAAAATACAGACAATAAAACAACTGATTAACATGGACTTTCCATGGTCTATCCAGTATATCACCTAAAATACAGACAATAAAAATACTGATTAACATGGACTTTCCATGGTCTATCCAGTATATCACCTAAAATACAGACAATAAAACAACTGATTAACATGGACTTTCCATGGTCTATCCAGTATATCACCTAAAATACAGACAATCAAACAACTGATTAACATTGACTTTCCATGGTCTATCCAGTATATCACCTAAAATACAGACAATAAAAATACTGATTAACATGGACTTTCCATGGTCTATCCAGTATATCACCTAAAATACAGACAGTAAAACAACTCATTAACATGGACTTTCCATGGTCTATCCAGTATATCACCTAAAATACAGACAATAAAACAACTGATTAACATGGACTTTCCATGGTCTATCCAGTATATCACCTAAAATACAGACAATAAAAATACTGATTAACATGGACTTTCCATGGTCTATCCAGTATATCACCTAAAATACAGACAATAAAACAACTGATTAACATGGACTTTCCATGGTCTATCCAGTATATCACCTAAAATACAGACAATCAAACAACTGATTAACATTGACTTTCCATGGTCTATCCAGTATATCACCTAAAATACAGACAATAAAACAACTCATTAACATGGACTTTCCATAGTCTATCCAGTATATCACCTAAAATACAGACAATAAAACAACTGATTAACATGGACTTTCCATGGTCTATCCAGTATATCACCTAAAATACAGACAATAAAACAACTGATTAACATTGACTTTCCATGGTCTATCCAGTATATCACCTAAAATACAAACAGTAAAACAACTGAATAACAATGATTTTCAAATTTAATACATCAAAATCATCTACAGTGTTCACATACCTTAGCAATAAATACTCATTTAACAACTCATTGTAGTATCACGTTACTTCTTTTTTTAGCAAATTGAGCAATAATTTGTTTATATTTCCAATGTGTGTACCATAATAAAAGAGGATATAATTGAAACATATCAGCTTTGGTACAGTCAACAGGTGCTCCTTGAACTGAACACAGACAAAAAAGAAAAAAAGAGAAAATCAAACATGACCTGTATTTTATTGTAGATAGACATGCTACAAAAATCTGAGGTAAAATTTGTTCAGTCATAATAAAGAAATGCCATAATGTAAAAAAAACAAAGAGTGCACACGCTGAAATTAAGACTTTGGTTGGCTTGCTTGCTTTGTATGTATTAACGTTTGCTCAAGCATTGTAATTAAAATGAACATCTGCAAACATTAGTAAGGTTTAACTCCGCCAAATCTATATTTTTTGCAGATATCAATCTTAAGGATGTTCGCTTGTCATGTTTTGGGATTTGTGTCAGATTTTCAGAATCCTCTGGTTTTATCCATTTGAATGCCTTGATAATTTTTGCCCATTGACCCCCATTTTTCTTTTTATTAATCTTTTACATGTATAATTATGAGCAAACTGTAAAAGTCTTATAAAATCTTTGTTATTTTCTAATGGTTTTAAGGAACTCAAACTTGTCAATGACAAAGCTATGAAAAATCAAGAGAGAACATTTTCCTGCCAAAATTTCAATGGCTTATATCTCGAAAACAAGCACATTGACCTATATATTTTTTTTGCTTTTTTGGTTCCTTTATTAATCCCCTATCAATATATACTAGTGTTATAAAAAGCTTGTTATTTTGAAACTGAGTAGTGAACCTCCTTAATTACAATGCTTGATCAAATGTTTATACAAACATTAAGCAAGCAAGCCAACCAAAGTCTTAATCTACATGCATTAGGAAATAAGCTCTAAGGTGATAAAGCTATAAACCCTGCTTTGTACCAGATTTTTGTTTTTGGTGCAATCATACTTCATATCCTTAATATTTACTAAGTCTGGAATCAATGTCAAAACTGCATTTGAAGTGAGCATGCTACCTTGAAAGGGCTAAAGCATTTGTGATAAAAAAAGTCTTTGAATTTTAAAACTCCTATGTACCTGTCTGGCCTCTACTTCAAAGTTCCTGAGCTGTACAAGTTGTTCCAATCGTTCCCTCTTAGATTCAGCAATGGCTTCCAGGTCCATCTCTCTCTCATGTAGGTATTCTAACAATGCTTGGATACGTGACTGAGCCTCACATTGAGAATCAGCCATTAACTGTATCCCAGAATTCTCAAAAACCTGAAAAAAACAAATTTAATCTGATTAACTCTGTATGACTTCAAGTAAGACACTTCATATAAAATAGATCTCCTTTAAGTATCCTCCACTGCAATAAAACAGACTTGAAAATCTTTCCCAGGTTAGGGGAGGGTTGTGCACTCACAAACATATTCAACTCAGCCACATTCTTTTTGCGCCTGTCCAAGTCAGGAGCCTGTAGTTCAGTGGTTGTCCTTGGTGCATGTTGGTCATATTTATTTTTCATAAATTGTTTTGTTTTAAATTAGGCAATTGGTTTTCTTATTGACTTGTTTCACATTTTTTATGTCTGGGCCTTTTAAAGCCGACTATACCTATGGGTTTTTCTCATTGTTGAAGGCCATATGATTACCTATAATTGCTTACATCCACTTAATTTCATTGGCAATCATACCACATCTCCTTATTTTTATATCAAAAATCTATCAAAATCTGGTAGACATTGAACTTTGTCAGATTAAATTGTTTTGCAAAAGGACACCTATGGACCCCTCAAAGAGTTGTTACAAGAGTTCTAAACTTGCAGAGAGCGTGGCATTCTCTCTAGATGAGACATCAGATTTAATATCCCCATTCTGACCAGACGTTACTGTGTACTTGTACATCCCACACAGGCAAATGGACACTCAACTTTAATAAGAGTTTTACTGCCTATCTGGAGTAGACCAGAAGAGTGAACATATTTCTATCCCCCAGTCACACTTTTCTTTTATTTTAAAGTTTATCAAAATATGTGGATCATATTTGTCAAAAGTGCTTAATTTTGTAAATTCATTTATTTTTTTAGGTATAATTTTGGTGGATTGAGCAAAAATTGTTTTTTCATAGATAATTCATTTTGTGGTTTAAACAAATCCTGCATTTAATTTGTAATTCGTTGAACACTTTATTTCGTGGTTCACATGTCCCCCAAAATCCACAAAAGTTAATATCCCAAAATAATAAGGAATCCATTGGACTACAATATGTACACATATACTTGAAAGTTTTACATACCTGAATTAAGTCTTGTCCTCTCTGCAAAACTTCAAATGTACAATTCTGCATCAAGAGAACACTTTCGTTATGAGCCTGTAAGAGCTGTTCTGCTTTACTGCCTTCGTTACCAAGTTCCTGGTGTTGTAGTTCTTCTGCCCAAAGCTCTAGTTGTGACGACACCTTAAATAAAAATCAAATGGATAGCTTAAATTATTAGCAGAAATTAATAACTGCAGATATTCCATGCATATATCTCGCTATGAATACCTTTAGAATTAAAATCATAATACATAACTCAATACTTTTTTCAGAAATTCATAACAGAATTTCTTCCAACTATAGATCTTGATTTGACAAAAAGTAAAATTAAATCAAGTAAATAAATCAAATATTTAGCATAAATTCAGAATTGAACAATTTTTATCGACAGATCCAGTTGTGAAAAGAACCTTGAGTAAAATTGAAGAACCTAACTTCTTAGCAAAATTTCCATGTTAACATGTGCACTGTAAATAAAAATTTACTTTTCATAGCTTCTTGTACAATCCACTTATTTGATTTCCTAACAAAAGAAGTGTTGTTTTTTGCTCTTTTTCTTCTTTTTTTTTTTTGGTAACTTTTTACAAGGTTTTTTTCTTTAATAACTAGAAACTTAAGTAGATTTGGTGCTTCTTTGTAAAGCACAATCTTTGAAGTGCAGTTACAAGAACTTTTTGCCAATTTGAACAAATTTAATTTTTGAAAACATATAATTCAAGTTATACAAAAATAATAAACTATGATAACTTGTAACAGTGTAAACACTTCTGCATTACTAAATATAATTATGTTTTATATTATATTCTTTTCACAGAATCAAAATTGTTTTAATTTTTTACCAGTAAAACAAAGGTTCTTCTATACTTCATGTTTTTTTTCTTCATGATTTAAGGATGCCACAAGTTATTATTTTCATGCACTTGACCTTAGGATGTCAAGTTTTCTCTCTCTTCTTGCACTTTTATTTTCATTTTGATAAAGTACTTATAGCCTATATCAAAATAAATTATCATTGAAATATAGTGGGTCATCATCCCATAGCTATTATATAAAGTATACTGCTTTGTGTGAACATTTTGTGTATGTGAATAGAAAATTTAGGGGGGCCTCGGTGCCCGAGTGGTCTAAATAATCGAACTACTGTATCACCAGCCTGTCAATACTGAGGTTGTGAGTTCAAATCCCGCACATGGAGGGTGTGCTCGACTGCAATCTTAATTGACTAGGAATTGCCAGTTATCCTACTGAAGGTCGGTGGTTCTCTCTGGGCACTTAGACTTCCTCCACCAATAAAAACTGACCTCCACGAAATAGCAAGATAGTGTCGTTAAACACCAATGAATCAATCAATCATAGAAGATTAAGAAAAGTCAGTCAGTGTTCAAATTTATAATAGGGACATTAAGCAACCAACAATCATTCAATACAATGCAAAATAAAGGTCTGGGAACACAACTAAAACTACCTGAGGAGCCAGGGACCTTTACAAAAATAAATGGGGAATGTGTCCATGGGACACAGATGATGCCCCCGCTTGTATATCATATTAAGTTATAAAGGGACATAACTGCAGAACAGTAAAAGTGACAGTACCCAAATTTGCAATTGATCTGAGTTTTGTAGTGATAAGTATTGTGTATAAGTTTCATATCATTTGGTTGAGGCAAACTTAAGTTAGAGAACGGAAACGAAAAATTCAGCAATTTTTTCCTTTTGTAAAGGGGCATAACTCTAGAACGGTTACAGTGACCCCACCAAAATTCAAACTTGTGGTAATAAACATTGTGTATAAGTTTCATAACATTTGGTTGAGGCTAACTTAAGTTAGAGAACGGAAACGAAAAATTCAGCAATTTTTCCATTTGTAAAGGGCATAACTCTAGAACAGTTAAAGTGACGCCACCAAAATTCAAACTTGATCTGTGTTTTGTGGTAATAAGCATTGTGTATAAGTTTCATAACATTTTGTTGAGGCAAACTAAAGTTAGAGAACGGAAACCAACTTACGTACGGATGGACAAGGGTAAAACTTAATGCCCCCTCCGCTACGGCGGGGGCATAGAAAACATGTTTAGGTACTGAAGCATGAAAAGTAAGTAAGAGATGGGATTCTATTTTTTTTACTACTGTATATACATATATATCCCATAATCTTGAAACAAATTCAATATATGTAAATACAAGTGCTCACTGATGATATCCCACCCAAATAAATTCGGCAAACAGGAAGTTGTTGAGTGATGAATCTGAAAACGCATCACACGGTATAGCTGACTTATATAAACCCTGAAATCAAATTTCAGAAATCCTTGTATTGTAGTTCCTGAGAAAGATGCGAAGAAAAATATTCATGGGACAGAAGGACGGACTGACGGATGGACAGACAGAGGTAAAACAGTATACCCCCACTTTTTTAAAGCGGGGTATAATTACTTTACTGTACAAGCAACAGCATCCAAAATGGATGTGTGGCTTAAAGAGGTTACCACCAGAATAATTTTTTTCATACAATTTTTTTTTACCTCAAGTGAATCTCTCTCAAACAATCTCAACTGCAAACACAAGTCTAATTTCATTTTCCTTGCTGCCCACAATTCCTCTAACTGTGACCTACTTTCATTTAACTGATGAAGAACACCTGGAAAAAGAAAATAACACATTTCATTTAACCTTTATTGTTCCACATCTAAATGATTTTTTACATTGTTACTATCAAAAATATGGTTACAACTACAACAGGATAAGTTAAGGTTGTTCTGTCTATGCCTTGTTGTTTGCTTGCTACTAATAAACATTTTTAGCTTTCAAAGCTTTTGGTCTTGAGCCTACCTGAATTGTAGAAACATATGTCGTGTGAACTGAAATTGGAATCATATGTTTGTTTCATCCATTGTAAAGTTGTATATTTTTGTGTGCATTTATTATTACTATCATTGAGTAATATTAAAAATGTGAGATTAATTGTAGTGATTTAAAACTAGAGGCTCTAAAGAGCCTGTGTCGCTCACCTTGGTCTATGTGCATATTTAGCAAAGGACACAGATGGATTCATGACAAAATTGTGCTTTGGTGATGGTGATGTGTTTGTAGATCTTACTTTACTGAACATTCTTGCTGCTTACAATTATCTCTATCTATAATGAACTTGGCCTAGTAGTTATAGTGGAAAATATTTTGAAAAAATTTACAAAAATTTACAAAATTTATGAAAATTGTAAAAAATTGACTATAAAGGGCAATAACTCCTTAAGGGGTCAATTGACAATTTTGGTCATGTTGACTTATTTGTAGATCTTACTTTGCTGTACATTATTGCTGTTTACAGTTTATCTCTATCTATAATAATATTCAAGATAATAACCAAAAGCTGCAAAATTTTCTTAAAATTACAATACAGGGGCAGCAACCCAACAATGTGTCGCCTGATTGGTCTGAAAATTTGAAGGCAGATAGATCTTGACCTAATGAACAATTTTACCCCATGTCAGATTTGCTCTAAATGCTTTGGTTTCAGAGATATAAGCCAAAATCTACATTTTACCCCTATGTTCTATTTTTAGCCATGGCGGCCATCTTGGTTGGTTGGCCCGGTCACCGGACACATTTTTTAAACTAGATACCCCAATGATGATTGTGGACAAGTTTGGTTAAATTTGTCTTAGTAGTTTCAGGAGAAGATTTTTGTAAAAGATTACAAAAATTTACGAAAAATGGTTAAAAATTGACTATAAAGGGCAATATAACTCCTTAAGGGGTCAACTGACCATTTTGGTCATGTTGACTTATTTGTAGATCTTACTTTGCTGAACATTATTGCTGTTTACAGTTTATCTCTATCTATAATAATATTCAAGACAATAACCAATAAAATGCTTCGCTGGGCGCAGCTTGATACGACCGCAGAGGTCGAACCCTGAACAGTTGGGGCAAGTATGGACACAACATTCAAGCTTGATACAGCTCTGAATTTGGATTGTGATTAAATATTTGACACAGCATAGGTTTCTGACACAGAAAGAATGTGGTCTAAGAACTTCAATTTTTTTAATTTACCTATTATGGTCCAATGTCCAAAATCAAAAAACATGGTTAGATTCAGCATATCAAAGAACCCCATATATTCAATTTTTGTTGAAATCAAACAAAGTTTAATTTTGGACCCCAACTTGGACAAACTTGAAAACTGGTCCCATAATCAAAAATCTAAACACATGTTTAGATTCAGCATATCAAAGTACCCCAAGAATTCAATTTTTGTTAAAATCAAACTAAGTTTAATTTTGGACCCTTTGGACCTTAATGTAGACAAATTTAAAAAACGGGACCCTAAATTAAAAATCTAAAAACACAGTTAGATTTGGCATATCAAAGAACCCCAATAATTCAATTTTTGATGAAATCAAACAAAGTTTAATTTTGGACCCTTTTGACCTCAATATGAACCAATTTGATAGCGGGCCCACAAATAAAAAATCTAAATACATGGTAAGATTCAGCATATCAAAGAACCCCATATATTCAATTTTTGTTGAAATCAAACAAAGTTTAATTTTGGACCCCAATTTGGACCATCTTGAAAACTGGGCCAAAAATCTAAAATCTAAATACATGTTTAGATTCAGCATATCAAAGAACCCCATATATTCAATTTTTGTTGAAATCAAACAAAGTTTAATTTTGGACCCCAACTTGGACCAACTTGAAAACTGGTCCCATAATCAAAAATCTAAACACATGTTTAGATTCAGCATATCAAAGAACCCCAAGAATTCAATTTTTGTTAAAATCAAACTAAGTTTAATTTTGGACCCTTTGGACCTTAATGTAGACCAATTTAAAAAACAGGACCCAAAATTAAAAATCTAAATACACGGTTAGATTTGGCATATCAAAGAACCCCAATAATTCAATTTTTGATGAAATCAAACAAAGTTTAATTTTGGACCCTTTTGACCTCAATATGAACCAATTTGATAGCGGGCCCACAAATAAAAAATCTAAATACATGGTAAGATTCAGCATATCAAAGAACCCCATATATTCAATTTTTGTTGAAATCAAACAAAGTTTAATTTTGGACCCCAATTTGGACCAACTTGAAAACTGGACCAAAAATCTAAAATCTAAATACATATTTAGATTCAGCATATCAAAGAACCCCATATATTCAATTTTTGTTGAAATCAAACAAAGTTTAATTTTGGACCCCAACTTGGACCAACTTGAAAACTGGGCCCATAATCAAAAATCTAAACACATGTTTAGATTCAGCATATCAAAGAACCCTAAGAATTCAATTTTTGTTAAAATCAAACTAAGTTTAATTTTGGACCCTTTGGAACTTAATGTAGACAAATTTAAAAAACGGGACCCAAAATTAAAAATCTAAATACACGGTTAGATTCGGCATATCAAAGAACCCCAATAATTCAATTTTTGATGAAATCAAACAAAGTTTGATTTTGGACCCTTTGGACCTCAATGTGGACCAATTTAAAAACGGGGCCCAAAATCCAAAAACTTAATACATGGTTAGATTCAGCATATTAAAGAACCCCAAGAATTCAAGAATAAAACCCCATTGAAATTGATCAAGAAATAAGCAATTTATACGAAGTATCTTCTTTTGCACAATACTGTGCAATTGAATATTTCTTGCTATTGCGCAATACTGTACAATTGACAATTTCTTGCTATTGCGCAATATTGTGCTATTGGATATTTCTTGCTATTGCGCAATACTGTTAAATTGAAGATTTCTTGCTATTGCGCAATACTGTGCAATTGAAGATTTCTTGCTATTGTGCAATACTGTGCAATTGAAAATTTCTTGCTATTGCACAATACTTATTATATAATAATTTACACATCCTGTTTGGTGTGTATCTCCTACCATATCATTATTATTTGCTTTTAAATATAAATCAGAAATAACCAACTTAAAATGGAAAATTTTAAAAGAAAAAAAAAAAGGAAAAAAAGAAAAAAAAAAAAAAAAAAAATCCCCCCCCCCCCAAATTTTTTGAACCCCCTTATGATTCATCACCCCCAAACTCAATCCCAGCCTTCCCTTTGTGGTATGGTACCTTGCAGTACAATTTCAGAGAGATCCATACACTTGAACACAAGTTATTGTCTGGAAACTAGAAAAATGCTTATTTTTGGCCCCTTTTTGGCCCCCAATTCCTAAACGTTTCGGGCAATTACCCCCAAACTCAATTCCAGCTTTCCCTTTGTGATATGGAACCTTGTAGTACAATTTCAGAAATATCCAAACACTTACACACAAGTTATTGTCATGAAACTAGAAAAATGCTTGTTTTTTGCCCCTTTTTTAGCCCCTAATTCCTAAAATTTTGAGGCAATTACCCCCAAAATCAATTACAGCCTTCCCTTTGTGATATGGAACCTTGTGGTACAATGTCAGAGAGATCCATACACTTACACACAAGTTATTGTCTGAAAGTTACAAAAATGCTTATTTTTGGCCCCTTTTTGGCCCCTAATTCCTTAACTGTTGGTACCATAACCCCCAAAATCAATCCCAACCTTCCTTTTGTGGTATTGAACCTTATGGTGAAATTTCATGGAGATCCATTCACTTAAACTAAAGTTAGAGTGCGAAAACCAATGTGTCTTCGGACGACGCCGGACGACGCCGGACGACGACGCGACGACGACGACGACAACGACGACGACGACGACGACGCCAACGTCATACCAATATACGACCAAAAAATTTTTAATTTTTGCGGTCGTATAAAAACTGCAAAATTTCCTTAAAATAACCAATTCAGGGGCAGCAACCCAATAACGGGTTGTCACATTCATCTGAAAATTTCAGGGCAGATAGATCTTGACCTGATTAACAATTTTATCCCATGTCAGATTTGCTCTAAATGCTTTGGTTTCAGAGATATAAGCCAAAATCTACATTTTACCCCTATGTTCTATTTTTAGCCATGGCGGCCATCTTGGTTGGTTGGCCGGGTCACCGGACACATTTTTTAAACTAGATACCCCAATGATGATTGTGGCCAAGTTTGGTTTAATTTAGCCAAGTAGTTTCAGAGGAGATGATTTTTGTAAAAGTTAACGACGACGACGACAACGGACGACAAACGCCAAGTGATGAGAAAAGCTCACTTGGCCCTTTGGGCCAGGTGAGCTAAAAAAGGGGCATAAAAATAATGGTATCAAAATCTAAAATGTAAGTTTTTATTTTTGAAAAACCTATCTTGTTGCAAATTTCACTAAATCAAAACATTCCAAAAATTTCTGAATTAACAGTTTGTTGTAAATGAACATTAGCCTCTTTCTTATTTTGTCTAAAAAATTAATAAAAGAAAAACAAATAAATGGAGAATGTATGGACACAGATGATGCCCCCGCTTGCATATAACATTATAAAGAGGCATAACTCAAGAACAGTAAAAGTGACAAAACCCACTTGATCTGAGTTTTGTGTTAATAAACATTTTGTATAAGTTTCATAACATTTGGTTGAGGCAAACTAAAGTTAGAGAACTGAAACCAATTTTGGGAGGTACGTACGTACGTATGTACGGAGAGCCGGACGTACGCACAAGGGTAATACTAAATACCCCCTTCATTGACGGCGAGGGCATAATAATATTC